TAATTCTGAATATTTTTGTGAGAAAAAAGGGAGTGAGATAACTTCACATCTTCCCTGATGCCCTGTCAGTGCTCCTGCAGGCAGAAAAGCACCACCAGCACCCAGGTGGCACAGACCCTGCAGGGACACCCTGGGGGGGAGCTGGGACGTGCTGTCCGGAGGTGTTATGGTTTGACCCTGGCAGCAAAACACCCCAGAAACTGCTGTCTCCCCGGCCAGGGGATGGGGGAGAGAATTAAAGGGGTGAAGGGAAAAGAGACTCATGGGTTGAGATAAGAACAATTTAATAACTAAACAACAAAAAAATTGAAAATTATAAGAGTAATATATACAAATGAGTGACACACAGTGACACTGCTCACCACCCAGTGACCAAGGCTCAGCCTGTTCCCAGCTAACGATCCTGGAGCAGGGAGAGTCCCGAAACCACAATCCCGGAAAGGACATAAGAGCCTGAGTGTCCGAGACCAAGAGCTGACCGAGTGAGACAACCCTGAGAGAAGGACCACCCAGAGCGAGATGACCCGGAGCAAGAGAGAGAGAGAACTTCTGGCCAGAGCCTCACCTCTCCCCTGGCCATGCCGTGCATGGGATGGAACAGACCATGGGCCAGTTTGGGTCTCAGTCCTAAACCCAAGGTCGAATCCTGGGCTGGTCACTGGGGCTGTGCTCCCTCCCGGATCCTCCTGCCCCTGCAGACACGGGCACAGCAGAGAAGCTGGAAAGTCCTTGAGTGTCCTGGCAGCAGCTCTGCCCATCAGTGTGTGATCAGCTTCTCCTCAGCACAAACCCCAACACAGCCTCACACTGGCAGCTACTGTGGAGAAAGGTAACTCTGTCCCAGCTCAAACCAGGACAGGAGGTTTGGGTTCAGATCTGCGTGGGCAAGAGAAGAAGTTTCCCTTTTGCCTTGTGGTGGATAAGTAGCCCGATCGTTGAGCTGAGGTGAAGCGGTGGCTGGAGGCAGCAGCCGTGCAGGCTTCAGAAGAGGAGCGTTGTCTGCAGAAGGTGAAACTCTGGCTAAGAGCCCATGCATTCTGGGGGTCTGTGGGCATCAGCACTCATCACCAGCCTACGTTTGAGAAGGAGGGTGGGCTGGAGACTTCCTGAGGCCCCCTCCAACCTGAACAGAGCTGGTGATCTCTCCTGGAAGGTACCAGAGGATAACAGCTCTCCACTGTGTGTGTGTATGTTGGTGACTACAGGGGACGTGTGATCTATGGGGACAATTTTGTTGTTTCCTGAAGAGCCAGGCCAGCACGTGCCAGCGCCCGACAGCCTGTTAGGGGTGTTTGTCTGCAGCTTTACCAGCCAGGAGAGCAGGGAGCAGAGAAAAAAACCACGAGAGGAGATTAAAGACTAGTGAGTGGTTTTCATTGGCCATCTTAAAATTGCAGCTCGGTAATTAAGGCTTTAGGCAGCTCACAAATAGCCTGGCTTTCTGCCGGCTCGCTCGTATTGCGAGCCTGTCGCCGCTGCGAGAAGGTGGACTTTATATATTGACTGAAAGGGAGCAAAAGCAAAAGGTAAGGAAGCGTTGGAGCCTGCTCCCAGCCAGCACTCTGCCCATCCCTCTTGCCCCTTCCCAGTTTGTCTGGGGTTGAATGAAATGGTTGTAAGTGATTTGGGCAGCTTTAAATTCACCTTTTCCTATCGGATGAAATTTTGAGGGAGAAAAGAGGAAGGGTCTGTCCCTTCGAGCTGGGATGTGAGTGTCCTGGCTGGGCTCTGCAGGCAGGGGCTGGGACTTGTGCATCTGGAGCAGTTCTTGTCGGAACAACCAGATCACAGAGGAGGGAAAAAGCCGTGAAACACCCAGAGTTGGTGCTGGCATCTGAATGTCACATGCGGGGGACTTTTGGTGGCAGCTGTGGAAGCTGGCGTGCGCTGAAGGAGCATCGTTCAGGAGCCAGCTGTGTTGTGAAGTGTGCTAGGATGGCTGGAGGGTGACGGACTTTGTGTAGCAGCTCTTCTGAAGCATTTCACAATGGTCCAGGCTCACCAACTCTCTGCTGTTTTATTTATGTGGGTGAGAGGAACTGGGAAGGGCAGAAGAGGGAAAGGTGCTTTGGACAAGCCAGCAAGGACCTCTCTGCTCCCTTCCTGCAAGCACTGAACAGCATTTTGCTGGTGGGGAGATGCAGGAGGGTGTGCATTCCTCTTTTGGTGTTGAACGTTTAGGCAAAACCTGTGGTATTTGGAAATTATCGAAGTCTAGGGGTTCAGGGAAAAAGCTAGGGCAGGTCCCCAAAAGGACTTCCTAGAGTTTCTTCAGCCTTGTTGCATTTTTTGGATGATGGAGCCTAATCCAGCAACGCGGTGATGCATATATGATGGGACCAGTCCTCTGAGGTCCCCAAAGAACTGGCTGATCTGGTGGGTCTGTAGCACCTGGAGAACACTAACGGAAGAAAAAAAAAAAAAAGGAAAAAAGACAAAAAACCCAGAGAGTTTCCTTTTGGATGGTGATTGAATGTGAGTGTTTTTACACCCACGTTAGCTGCTGGCATCTACTTAAACTTTGTTTATTAATGCTCCAAACTTTAGTACAGGCTTGGATAAACTCTGGTCAGACAAGTACAAAGCATCCTTGGGGAAAAGTCCTAGAATTTCCTGGCTGTGGTGCTGCCTGATGGGTGTCTGCGCCATGGCAGAGCTGTGCGGGCGGGATTTAGGGATGAGGAGGTGTCCAGCTCAGGCAGGCCGGGGTCAGGGAGGCGGCATGGCTAGATTAGCCTGCTGCACGATCCGATCCGCCGCTGATTTTGTGAGAGATGGCATTTGGCTTAAGGCTGTTTAAAAAAAGTGATTTGGAAGGTCAGGCTGACATTGCTGTCATCTAATTTAGAATGGAAAGGAATGATACTGTCTGCTGGCTGGGTGCTCCTGAGGCCACACCCAGCCGATGTGGTTAGAAAAAGAAAATGCATTTCCAGGGGCATTACTGCTTGCAGAAAATGTTTTTAAATCTGAAAAATAGGTTTGTTTGATCTGTTCTGCTCTCGTCATCGCCTCTGGTTTAGAAGCTGCTGAATGGCTGTTGATGGATGAGGGTCCCCAGCGGTATGCCCTGCGCCATCGTGCAGGATTTTCTTCTTTATTCGCATGTTAATAATTAACCTTTCTTCCTCCCCAGAGAGGCAGGCACATGAAAACACCCGTTTTTTTTCTTTCTGGCTGAAGAAACAGCTGCAGAAAGGTCTGTGTGGCCCCAGGCTGCTTTTTTTTTTCTGTACCAGGAACTGAACCCTTCTCTCTTGCCGTGAGACACCCTGGGTGGGAATTAGTGCTCCAGGAAATATGGAAAAAAAACCCCACAGCATGTTTGTGTCCCAGATCACGCCTGTGTTCGGACCACTGCTGCAAGGCTTTGGGGTTTATTTCAGTTTTACTGTGCACATAACAGACAACAGTGAACCTTTCCAGAATGTGAGGTGGGAGACAGGCAGCTGTAAGTGAAGATTTTGGTGTAAAAGAAGCATTTTGGTTAACAAAGTGTAAACCGTAAACTTCTGAACCAAACTCCCAGTGCTTCCCTGACAGTGTTCGGTGGCCCCTCTCCTCCCAGCTCTGCTAGATCTCATTTTCTGGGGGAGCTGCGGGGATCCCTGTGCCTGCAGCAGGTTTGAGTCCATCTGACAGCTCTGGCGTACGAAGCCTGGAGCCCGGGAGCGCTCTCCATCGCTGGGGGGTGGAGGACATGCTGGGCTGCTGGGTCTAGGCTTCAGCACATTGTCTGCTTATGCTAAAGGCTTTTCATGTGGTTATTTATCCCAGGACTGATGTGAAATATATGATTGTCCTTCATAGGCTTGTTGTTTGTACTTGAGTCCATCTGACAGCTCTGGCGTACGAAGCCTGGAGCCCGGGAGCGCTCTCCATCGCTGGGGGGTGGAGGACATGCTGGGCTGCTGGGTCTAGGCTTCAGCACATTGTCTGCTTATGCTAAAGGCTTTTCATGTGGTTATTTATCCCAGGACTGATGTGAAATATATGATTGTCCTTCATAGGCTTGTTGTTTGTACTTGGGATGTAACTGAAACATATACTTGTCCTTCATAGGCTTGTTGTTTGTACTTGGGATGTAAACGGGCAACATAACAGGTGTGGCGATCTCATGGGTGTCGCATCCCTCACTGGGAGCTGCATGTGTGTAGCACTGGCTGATTTCTGCCCTTTTTCCTCACCAGCATCTCCTGCAAACACTCCTCAAGACCTCTCCCCTTGAGAGGGAAGCGGCTGTGACTGTACCTCTATCAGTAAGGACAGGTATTGTGTCCAGGCCCAGCCTGTGTGGATGTCCCCTGATGTTTCCAGATGCCACCAGGCACTGGCAGCATTTTTCTCCTGGTAGAGAAAGTCTTCCCTGTGACAGAGAACAGAGCTAGGGCTGGCAGCATTTTTCCCCTGGTAGAGAAGGTCTTCCCTGTGACAGAGAACAGAGCTAGGACAGAGCTGGCTTGAGTTATCCTGGTTTAGTGGCAGCTGGAGCCCAGTTTCTTCCTCCTTTGGGTTGTATGCTACGAGTTTAACCTCAGTCCCTTGGGAAAGTGTGTTCACAGTGCAGTGATACATGTCCTTTATTTGTCCCAGGTATTTGTTCCCCCAGTAAGAACTGGGGCCAGCAGCAACGCAAGGTGAAGCTGTTCTGCTGCATTGCTGGTGGCCTCTGTTGTCCGCTTTCCAAAACGATATCCAAGTCCTCAGGGCTCCCAGCCCGGATCTTTTGCAGCAGTACAGAGACAGCAGCTCCCGCTTTCTGCAGCCAGTTTGCTAATTTAATAATTATTTGAATTTCTGTGGTATTTCCTGCACTTCAGTTACTTCCTATGAGCTCTAGGTTTGTGATTTCTCATCATTTCAGACTTGCCTGCAGAAACTTGTATCCAAGGGTAAAGGATAAATGCTGTTTTGTGGGGCTGAGCACCCCTGGGAATCCATACCTGTGTGTTTTTCATGGGTGTTTCTAACCAGACACATATTTTTCTGTCTCTCTAGCCATGCAGGGACCAAGACCCGTGGTTCTGAGTGGCCCATCAGGTGCGGGGAAGAGCACTTTGTTAAAGAAATTGCTTAAAGATTACGAGAACCTCTTCGGCTTCAGCGTCTCCCGTGAGTATCCGTGTGTCTGTGGGCAAGGCCAGTGGAGGAGTTTGGGGCTGCTAGCCCAGAGCCTGCTTCTGTAGCTGTATTCATGCTCCAGATAATGGGTTTCCGTAGCTTGCCTGTGTCCTAATCTGTCTGTGGGCTCTTTGGGATGTTCAAAGAAGTCAGGATGCCTTTTAGTACTGGTATTGAGTAGCCAGTGTCTGGAATAGCACCCTTTGCAGGTCTGGTGACTCCTCACACCTCTAAACACAGCTCAGAGAGGCGATGAGATTTTTCTGGGTAATTCTTGACTCTGAAAATAACAAAATTCCCCTACAGCTCTCCTTCAAAAGCCAATTTTTTTACACCCACCTGCGGGAGCTGATGGGGATTTTAACAGCCCAGAGTCTCAGATTTAAAATTCAAGATTTTGGTGAAGCTCATCTCATTACTGGGTCAGTCAGCGAAACTGTCCACCCCATCACCTGCATGCGTTCCTCCTCCTCCCATTGCTCTGGTCGGTCACTGAGTGGTGGCCAAGGGTCTTTTTTTTTTTTTTTTACCTGGGCTGGTTCCGTGAATGTGAACATAATCCTTGGCTGGCTGGCTTGGTGCACCCATACCTCCCTGCAGGCTGTGTTGAAGTCCTCCTGTGCCCACAGCAGACTAAGTGGCAATTTTCTTCAGGCGCCTTGCCTGTCGCAATACTAATTTTGTTTCCTTTTTCCTGAGTGACACTTCAGAGGTTACCCTCGGAGTCTGGGCTGTGTCCACAGCTCATTCACCTGATTTTCCCTGGAGCTCTGCAACATGTTTTTAAGTATGTTACCAAAATGGGTTTTTTTTTGTCCTAATGCTTTGGATACTGCAAGTGAAATCGTTGCTTTGAGATCTGCGAGATCCAGATTTGTTTTACTGTGAAAGGGCAAATACTGGATATTTAAAATCTAATGTTACTAGAGATGGAAAAACTTAAAATTACCTTTCCTTTTGTGTGTTTTATCCTGTACTCTTGATTCAACTGAATTTCTCATCTCAGTCCAAGCTAAATCTTATCATTTTCCCCTCTTGATAGTTTTTTTTTTCCTAAATCTCCGCAATTGGTGCTTTATAAAACCTTACAGGTGATCAGTGTTACCTTACCTCCTGCCAGTCCTAAATAAAATAATCAAGATTGTTTCACATGATGACCATCAGCTCCTTTTTGCTTTGCAGAGCACGTGCTTAAAATAACACCAGTTTGAACGACTTCCAACACGATTCAAAGGCTGTCCAATCTATTCACCTCCCGCATGTAGGAGTTTGCCATTATTCATTAAATCGGGATATTTTAAGCACCTGTGTAGGTGCTGCATGATCTTTTAAAATGAAGATAACTCTGCAGAGTAGGGCACTGCTCATTCCCCTGAGCTGAGGCAGAACACATCTGGGATGACACAGGAAGGCTGTAGCAGAGCTGAAAATTAAGCCCAGCCTGGTAAATCCCCCACTGACTGCTCAGCCCCTAACAATCTTAATTGATTGTTTTCCGATTATCTAGGATTCCTTGATTCCAGGCGAATCCTGCATGTTGTTGTGCGTTAGACTCGCTCTGATCATTTTAAGTAGAGGGTCAGGTGATTGGATTAATCTCCTGCGTGTGCGCTTTTATTTCTTTGATGCTATTACTCTCTTGGCTGATCTACAAAATTTAAAAGGTTGTTTTTTGCCTGCAGATACCACGAGGCAGCCAAGACCTGGAGAAGTAAATGGCAAAGGTGAGTGTGTTGCAGTTGGAGCTGTCTCAGGCTCAGCAAACAATTCCTCTGAAAAATTGTAAGTTTCGATGTCAAGTGCGTGCATGAATCCCTCCTGGCAGGTAAGTTAGTTCTGTGTTTGTTTATAGGGTGCATTTCCTTAGGCAGGAGGAGCAGGCATTCAGTAATGATATATTAGAGAGTGTGTGTTTATATAAATATGCAGACATACACCTACTTGTGTTCTTTATCTCGGTGGCAGTGAGATCGGAGCCATTTACCGCTGTTCTGCAGCATGTGCCCTGTGTGGGAGGGAAGATAACGAAGAGGGATGGACTTGGCAGAACAAAACCAGAATTTAATGAAGTGGTGAAACGCTAACAGGGTGCTGCCAGATTTCTTTTTTAGACACCATCTCTGTGACTCGCTGGCCAAGGTTTTCAGTTTGAGTGCCCTGGTCCCTGCTTGGGCATTGAGTGGCTTGATTTTTCTGAAGCTTTAGGTACCTCCGGTGGGAAATGCAGCTGCTTAATGAGATGGCTTTATCTCTGTTAACAGCTTGTGGCCAGCTGCTTTTCTGGTTTTTTTTGTTTGCATATTTCTGAAACAATCAAATGTGGTTTGCACTTAATTTCTGATGGCAGTTTTCACTCTGAGGTGAAAGGGAGGAATTTTAACAAAAGATATAGAAACATTCCTTTTGAGGTTTTTTTTTCCCCTCTTATCTCCCTCTCTCTCTTGTCCTGTTCTAGTCTTTAATCATGAGTGCTTGCAAATTAAGGGCCTCAGCCATCCTGCTGTAATGTGTTCCACACCTGTGGGGAGAGGGGGGAGTTTCCCCCTGCACCTGAAAGGGGAAAGGGTGTGAAAAAGGGGGTACAGCAGCGTTTCTGACCATGCACAAGGCTCCAAAATACTTCGAGCAAGTGTCTCGGGAGTTGGGATGGAGAGGGGATGCTTTCAAGGTAATTAGAAGGTAGATATCTGCAGTCTGCCAGTGTTGTCCAAAGCAGATTTTAAGGTGCTTCTCCCACAAGCACCCACGGGTGTCATGTTGACCATGGACTTTGCCTTCAAAGCTGTTAATTTCTGGCTCTTTCTCCTGTTTTTCCTAACCAGATTACCACTTTGTGACCAGAGAGGAAATGCAGAAAGAAATCGATGCTGGTGAATTCATCGAGCACGCAGAGTTCTCCGGAAACATGTACGGGACGAGGTACGCAGTTCAGACACTGTCCCTGCTGGTGCCAGGAGCTGAGATGGTGGTGAAAGAAAAAAAATATTTTAACTTAGTGACACTTTTCCCCAAACATGCAGATTCTTGCCATAAGCAAAGCCTTTCATTTTGATAGCAAGGTCCTTAATAAGATGGCAAAATTAACTCTTGCAGAGAGTTAGCTCCTCATAAGTGATTTTCACAGACTATTTATGTTCCTTAATATTTTCCAAGTGCTTGCAGAGACGGAATGAAGACTTCCTTTCATTATCCCTGCGTTACCTAACGGTCTGAATAGGATGAATTCAGGAGCAGAAGCCATAACCAAATTGGCTGTTGTGAAACAAGTACGTGTGCTGCTTTGGTAAAGTCCCTGCTTATGAAGAGATAAATTGCATGGCACCCCTGGCTGGGATTAAAGAGTTAGGTGGATTTTAAAATAGCATTGCCCTGGGCGTTGGAGCTGAGAGTCAATAAAACGTTAAGCTGCAATGTTAATTAGAAGTCAGAAATCTTCTATAATGATTGTGAGAAAATTGTGGCACTATAGTAAAGGACCTGCTAAGGAGGAAAGTTGAATGTTTCCTGAGATAATTAGTTGCGTGAAGGAAATTTGCCTGAAATGCTTTTCAGGAAGACTTGCATTTCTGAAAGAGTTGAATGTGCTTTTTGTAGGATTTTTTGGAGATAGCAAAATTTCCTTCTGAGGGTGGTTTCCTTCTGGGAGGTGCCAACATAAGGCCCCCAGACTGACCATGCTGTAGGTGTGCAGCTCAGAAGGAACGGTTTGGTGATTTTTGCATTTCAGTAACATTGCTGCTTGAGTGTGACACGCAGAGGTGTCGCTGCTGTCACCGCAGGTAAGGGCAGCCTCGCAGGGGTCTGGCTGTGCTTGCTCCCTCTGAGGCTGATGGAGGAGCACAATCCCCTGCCCTGACCTTGATATTGCAGTGTTAACGCTTTGGCAAGAGAAGCAAAACTTGACAGCTCATCTTCCAAATACCCAGCACCAAGGAGAAACTGAGTTCAAGCTCCTTAATCCCTGGTTTCATCCTCCTAGGCCAGGCTTCCTTCTTTCATGTGTGTCCTGCTTAATCCAGCCTCAGCGTGGAAGAGCCGGCTGCTCTCTGATGCCTGACATGTAGGTGGAGTTGATTTTGGTGCCTTTTCGTCAAGGGTGGGTGCTGAGAAGACATCTCTCCTTAACCAATTTCCCTGAAATGTGCAGGAATTTGATACTTTAATCAAATTACATGCTTGGGTTTGGTTTTGAGGTGCTTTTCTCCCTGGCCCTCACTTTCATCTCCAGTCCCCTCTGGATATTCACGCTGCTTGTGCTCTGCCTGTGCTGGTGGGCATGCAGGGTGGGAGGCTGAGATCAACCCAAACCATCTCAACAATGAATAAATACCAGTTTGCAAATAAATACAGAAACTCTCCAAGCCTGTATTTCCTCTGTTAGTGCCTAAGGATGCTTCTGATCAGATGTATGTTAAAATGGAGAGCGTCCCTCATGCTTATCAGAATAGTTGACGTTTTCACCAGTCCTTTTTGCTCCCTAAATCTCATCAGCTAATAATAATTAATAACTAAAAACTAATTGCTTAATTTAAGAGTCCTAAAAGTGCCCTGTCTGTGAGATAGCACTGAATCATGCCCACAGAAACCAGAATTTATTTGAAAGCTGCCTTAAATGAGAGGCTGAAATCAGGGTGCAGGTGTGGGGTCTCTTTCTTGGGGCTCTGAGAGCTGCTGGCTCTTTGTGGATGGGTTGTAGTGGGAGTTAGTTGATACCAGGTGATACCAGATGAAGCCTGTAGCTTTCACATGGCAAACCAAGGGGTTTTGCGGAGTTTTTGTGGATTTGCAGTGGATGGTGCTCAGCTCCGGGCTGCTGCCCACCCAGGCAAGGGAGCAAACCTCTATTTGTATAGGGCACAGTGCTGGTCTCACAGTTTCACTTTAGCTTTCTCTTTCCTGTTGGGGTTTGTGACCTGTGCTGTGGGACTCCCAGGTCAGGAGGAAAGTCACCAGCCACCTCCATCCTCCTGTGTGACCCCTGTCACGGCAGCACTGTAGACTTTCCTGTGCCAACTGGACCGGCTGCGGGACCCCAAGGCTGCTCGTCTTCCTGCTCTTCCCCCGCATCTGGGATGAGGGGCTCACAGTGCCACCCCACTGGGATGCTCCATCGCTCATTTCTGTTCTCTGGGGCTTTTCTGGGCTCGCAGGCTCCCAGAAGTCTTTACAGATTTCCCCATCTCAACTCTGCTTTGTACCTTTCCGAGAGGCACCTTCTGCTTCTGCCTCCCTCCTCTCCAGCTGCATTTGCAGAGAGCTGTCGTGAAGCTGTGGTACCTGTGGGTTCAGGACTCTGTGCTGTCACATCTCCCTTTGCACGCCCTGCCAACAGCAGCACCACAGCTGAGAGCTGCTGTGTGACACCAGTGGGTGCTTGCCCTCCGTGCTGGTGAAGATCCTGTCTTCAGAGGTTGCCCAGAGAAGCTGTAGATGCCCCATCCCTGGAGGGGTTCAAGGCCAGGCTGGATGAGGCTTTGAGCAACCTGGGCTAGTGGGAGGTGTCCCTGCCCATGCCAGGGGGTGGAACTGGATGGGCTTTAAGGTCCCTTCCAACCCAAACCATCCTGTGGTTCTGTAATTCTCCAGCTGGCACAGCCCAGAACAGGGCTGGTGGGAGCTGTGGGGGTCCTGAATCCTGTTTCACTGAAGGTGTGGCTCCCCTTTCCTGGGGTGTAGGACAGCACAGGAGCATTTGTTTGGGGGAGCCTTTTTTCAGCACATGTTTGCAGAAGGCATCAGGGAGCAAACCTCGGTGGTGCAGGGTGATGGGGTAAGGTCCGAAGAGGTGCCCTGGGTGCGGGCAGGGAATTAAGCAAGCTGGAGGCTAGCTGCTGGACAGTGTTTTCTCTTAATCTCTGCTGCCATTGCGTGACCTCCTGACTTCACAACCTCAAAACCTGCAGTGCCACCCCTGAGCTCCTGGTAGGGCTTCTCTTCGCGCTGTCCGTTGTGCCACGGAGCTCTGGCTTGGAAAACTTGTGCCCCGCACAGTGCGAATAGCGACTGAAAAGTCCCCTGAGAAGGCTGCTACCCAGGAACTGGTTCAGGTAGCTCCAGTGCACCAGAAGAGGGTTGGCGTTGCTGCTTTTCAAGGGAGAATTGTAGGTGTTCAGGAACAAGCTCGAGGCAATTCCCAACATATGAGAACCACCATGTAAAAAATATTTTCTTAATTATGCATCTTGTGACCCAGGCAGGAGCACCCATCTCCATCAAGCATCCTTCAGGAGTGCATGTGGGTATGGAAATCGATTAATCTCTGGAGAAGGAAAATTCTCAATGTTTTTGCTCTTTGGTGAAGGTTGTTCCTGTGTTTGTCGAAGGTGGGAGCTTTACAGACTGTACCAGAGCCTCACTGCTTTTGGGATAGTTGCACGTAATCCATTTCCACACCTGCCACTGTGGTTTTTCCAGCCTCTTTAGCAGGAGGCAGCAGGTCCCTGCTCCTCCCCAGGGACCCAGAGGACACCTCAGGAAAGAGAAACTTTAGCAAGAGCAGAGCAGGTTCTCTTCTCTCCTGCCACAATTTGGGCACAGGGGAACCCTGTGAGGTGAAGACCTGCTGCTGGAGCAGGACACACCAAGCCCCCTCTGCTACGTCTGGATGCTCTGACCCCTTCCATCTCTGCTCTGTCCCCAGTAAAGGCGCGGTGCAGGCTGTTCAGGCCCAGAACCAGATCTGCGTCCTCGACATTGACATCCAAGGTGTGAAGAACATCAAGAGGACAGACCTGAACCCCATCTACATCTCCGTGCAGCCTCCGTCCATAGACATCTTGGTGAGCGACTGCCTTCCTTTGCCGTTAGGCAGTTAGAGGTAATCAGCGTCTTGCTCTGAAGTGATGGGGGTTCCCCCCTCATTGATTTATCTGTGTTTTAAGGGCTGGAGAATAGGTGGGGAGGACATTTCTGAGCACACTGTCACCTCTGCTCAGTCTAACTCCCCAACCCACGCCTCCCAGGGATAAATCTTTGGTTTTTGAGTCCCTCGTGTGCAGTTTCCGCATCTTGGCGTGTTTACCTGCGTTGGGTTATAGACTCCCTTGCGGCGTGGCCAGACTTTAAATGCATTTGTTGGGTTTAACGCTGGGGAGAGGAGGAGATTTTTGTGCTGAGACTTGCCTCCAGCAATTAAAGTTAAGCCGAGGGAGGCTGGTTCTCTGCAGCACCAAAAATCATGTAACCCCTCTGGTCTTATGGGGCCCTGTATAATTAATAATCACAGTGTGCCTCTGGGAGAAATGAAATCCCTGTTGTGGTTCAGAGAGGGATGCAGACACACGGATGTGACGTCCTAAAGCCACGCAAGTACGTGGCAGCGGAGCCCGTGACTCCTGGCTCTCGCCTCTTGCTGTCAGTAGATCAGGCAGTCTGCGTTTCTCGTTCAGTTTGTAGAGGAGGAAGCCAGCAGAGCCCAGCAGAGAGATTTCACCTCTCAGCAATATCTGGAGGGGAAGAAAAAAAAAAAGGGGAGCGGGTGAAGAGACCAGAAGCCTGAGCTATGGACAGGACATCCTGAGCCCAAACCCAGCTCGGCCACTGGTTTGTTTCAGGCTGTGAATGAGGCCCCTCACCCTTTGCAGGGCGTTATTTCACGTGCCCCTGGTCGCTGGCGGTAGCAAACGTCTCCCATGCAGGGGCAGACAGCACTGGCTTGGGGGGTGGGTGGTGGTTTCTGCATTTGGAACACGTATTTCTTTAATATGTTTATCATTTGGCTTAGGAAAAAAGACTACGTGACCGAAAGACTGAGACAGAAGAAAGTTTACTGAAGCGTTTGAATGCAGCCCGTGTAGATTTGGAACTTAGTAAGTCCGGGGGCCTTTGAGTGGTGTGTGCAGGGAGAGGGGATGCATTGGTGTTTTAGGAGCTGGTTTTTGCACGAATATCTGACTTGTGTTCTCCAAGGAGTGCTGGCAGGGCTTGGACGTGAGCTGAGTTTGATCCGATCACCTTGCTGCACCGTTTCCTGCTGCAGTTCCTTGTGGACAGTTGGCAGAGAAGCACGTTAGCAGTCTCTGAAATTATGATATTAAAATGCTGCAGGAACTCAGATCGTGCATGAGAGATGACGCAGGGAAGAAACATGTTCTCTAACTCCTCTGTCCTCATCTCCTTCCCTAGGTAAAGAGCCTGGCCTGTTTGACTTGGTCATTATTAATGACGATTTAGAAAAAGCCTATTCCGAATTGAAGGAGATTCTCCTGGAGGTGAGTCCTTTGGGGCTTTTCTGCCTCGTATTCTGAGCATGCATGACCTCTAGGCAAGGGTCTGTCTATAGGCAGCCACAGAAATGTGACCTCATGCCCACGCTTGATCTCTTTTGAGCTGCTGAGTGACATAGTTGAGCACAGATCGCGTATGAATGACGATGGATCAGTGGCTTACGAGAGTGGGAAACGGATCCAGTGTGATACTGGGTCGGGGCAAAAGAAGCCTCCATCCCTGGACCGCGCGGAAGGGCTGTGCTGTTTCTGAAGAGCCTCCAAGACAAACCTTCCCTTGTCCCTAAAGGCTCCTGCGTAAATTCTGGGCTTGGTCCTGCAGTTTGTGCTGTGCTTTGAGGAGATGATCGCTCGTGGTCTGCAGGACTGTGAAACTTTGAGCTGTTCCCCAAGAGGGATGGATGCTCAGTTATTTTCCTGATCTTCTTGCAGGAAATCAAGAAGACCCAAGAATCCAGGAAGTCCTGAGCTGAGCCTGCTTGGACGTTTTAACTTTGCACATCATTCCTGAACCACATCACACCACTTTATTCCAAGAGACATTCCCTTTAGGCTGATCCTCCTCCCAAGTTACTCTAGGATGTTTCTATTAAAAGGAAAGAAAATGAAACCCGGTCACGCTTGTGTTTCTGTTCACCACACACTCAGCGTGGGCTCTCCCAGGTTGGAGAGAGGCGGATGGTTTGGAAGCGATCGCACGGCACCTGCTGCCAAAGCGCAGAGCCGTTCTGTGAGGCTGCAGAGGAGCTGTCTGGGCATCTGCAGCCCCGACACACAGCGTAGAATCCCGCTGCAACATTTCTGGAGGTACACGTTGTGCCCAGCTAACGCCACTCACAGAATGGGAGCTGCTTAGATTGATGTGACCCCCGCTTCCCCCTGCCGACAGAGGGGCTCCCGTCTTTACTGGCACCTGATCTCACAAGTGTGCAGGTCGATTTTTAGACGCTCTTATACCTCCAAGTCGGAGGAGAAACTATTTCTTTTCCAAGCTGTGCAGCTTTTTTGGATGATGTGCTTGAGGGCACCTCCTTTTCCTAGGAGGGAACCATTTGATCTGGCCGGTCTCCCTCGTACTGGTCTCTTGCTTGAGCTGTGGAGAGGTTTGCAGGACAGGGAGTCGGAGGATGCCTTGCGCTTTGCTTCCCTGCCTTTCTTCAGCCTTAACCTTGATGCTTTTGCATGACTTTTGAGCTTTTTGGTCCCTCCAGCAGGTCATATCTTGAGCCTCCTTGGAGGGGCTGGTTCCTCTTGGGTTTCATTCTCTTCCTGTCCCATCTCCAGTTTCCCCAGCTGCTCTGCTCCAGCACACCCGCAGTCCCTCTCAATCCAGGTCACGTCCTCATTCACCAAGCTGTATCTTCCACGTTCTGGGCACCAATAAGCAGAACCAGACCTTGGACAACCCTTTTAGTGCCTCGCTTGTGTTTAGAAAGATGAGAGTTGATTATTTTCATCGTTTTTCCTCTGTTTGGGTGTTTTAAATATACCTTTTATAGATTCTACTGTGAAATCCTGCTTTCTGTTGTCCTGATTTTCATGTGAGGTTCTAACTTTGGTTAAATGAGCAGGAAAAAATGCTCCCCCAAAATTTTCTGGGGGCGTACCTCCTTCACAACATCTGGATTTCCCCTTCCTGACGGTGTGAATCTCTGCAGCCAGGCTCTTCTGCGGTGATAAGTGACAGTCTATGATTTTTATTTTTTTTTTCCTGAATCGTGGGGGTTTCGTTATATTTTGAGGGACACATGTAATGGGGAAACGTCCCCTCTAGATGGCAGAAATGACAGCAGCAAAGGGCAGGGAGCCTGCGCTGTGGAGCGACAACACGCTGAGGTGCAGGACGCGGTGCTGGCCTCAGTCTGGTGGTCTCCAGCCACCGCCTGGGACCTGCGGTGCTGTCACCAGATGGAAATGCCCAACCGCTGCCTGCTCAGCCCTCCTGCCACCGTCCCGAGAGCTGCGCGACTGCCAGCCCCGAGCCCAGCCTTCGGGCGTCCCTCTGGGAGAGGTGAGTGGTACCCGGGAACGGGAAGGGATGATGCTTCAGCACCGCCAGCGCTTGGAAAATGGGGAAAAAAAAGTCATTTAAATCACTTGTGTCCCCCTTCACTGGAGGTAACGGAGAGGGAAGTCCGAAATAACCCGCCCTATATCGGGTGACCTGCTTTTAGCGGCTGCCGCTGTGTCTGACAGACCGGAGGGGTGAACGTCTGGATGGCCGGCAGTAATGCGAGGTGACGGGGTGGCCATCGGAAGGCGATGGGTGGTGGAGGGACCGGGAGCGGGCTGCTGGAGCCAAGCTGGTCACCAAGCGGGTGGTGGGGCTGTTGGGAATCTCTCGTGAGTCCTTTCTGGGTGCTGTCGGCAGTGCCTTTATCTGTTTGGTGTTTTGGAGAGGCCACGCTGCACGCTGAATCTCGTAACGGGGTGGGTGAAGGCACCTGTTGAAATGAGTTTAATTTCTGCATCCTCAAAAATGGGATGTTTCTTTTATTAATTGCATTTCCAAGCATAAATACCTCTCTGGATCCGTATTTTTGGTACCAGTTCGTTGGGGATGCAGCCATCCCCGCATCCCTGGGGCAGGCGAGGACCATGCTGAGCATCGTGGTTGCGGCAGACACCGAATTCGGGGTCCTACACAGACACGGCTTGATGTGGGGCTGGGGGTGGGATTGAGGGATCACAGTGAGGGCACAGGAGTCTCTCTGCCAGGATTTTCTGTGATTAAAGATGCTGCTCCTGGGGGGAACCCTGTTTCCCACCGAGGAGATCTTCCAGGCAGGAAGGTGTTGAACGCACCAACCAACAGGTTTGGGGCATTTTGGGGTGAAAGTGGGTGAGCCAAAGGACAAGAAGGGAGCTAATGCTCTCACGTATGGTTTTATTCAGCTGTTAAAAACCTTATCACCTGGCCCCATGAGACCATGGGGATGAATTGCTCCCCCATGCATGGCTCTGATTCTAGCTGAGATATGGGTCGCTCCATCTCGGGGTACACCCCAGTGAAAGAATGGGCTTGCTCCTGGCTTGCTTGCTTGCAGAAATGTCAGAAAAAGGGATGTATATGTATGTATTTACCGTTCCATCAGACTGAGATAAAATTGGACAGATTTCAGCTGCTTTCAGCTCTGCAAGATGCTTTGGGAAGCATCGCAGCACCTCATCCCACATCCCTGCAGGAGGAGGATGCTGGAGGAGGAAGGCTGATCCCCATGAGGGGTGCGTGGGATGATAGGAGGAGCTGAGATAAAACCTGCCCTGGGAGCTCCCACCATCTGGGTGAGGGCATTTTGGAGCTGACGCCAAAGAAAAATAAATTCCCGTAGCGCTTTTCCTTCAAATCAACTGCTTTGCAGTCTTGCTCTTTTGTTTTTTACTGAATCCAGGCTGGTGCATCGCTTTTGGGGCAAGGAGCTGATCGTTTTTCCAACTTTCCTGCCTATCCAAGGTTTTTGGCAAGAGAAATACCCCGTCACGGGGTGAACACGGGGTTGGTGGCTTTAGGTGGAGAGGTGACCTCTGCTGTGACCCATTGAGATGCTGCCTGGGAAGGACATCGCGCAGGGATGGATGAGGGCAGGCAATCCTTGAAGCCAGTGCCCAAATCATCCCAAAGGAAGACAAGAAATCCTGGAGCCACACTCCAGGCTGGCTTCAAGCAGCCAAAATTAGCCCATGGCTCCTTCCAGCATCACACACACCCCCCATCGGATGGTCCCACGGTCCAGAGACTCGTCCTTGCCGTGGCTTTTCTTGGCATCTCGGTGCTTTTGGAGGCAGCCCTGATTTTCAAGCTTCCTTCCGTGCCATTGCAAAAAAGCACCGCGGGGCAGAGTCGGCCTGGGAAATAATTGGGTGGCCAGCGTATAAAATAAGCAACGAGGCAAAAAAGAAATAGGAATAACCGTGGATTTCTTGTTTGCCCATCAGTACCCGGCTCGGTCGGTGTGTGTGCTCCCGATCGCCGGGACTGAGCATCCCGAGCGCGAAGGTGTGATGGGATGTGCTCACGTCGGTGCACGGGGACGGCGCGTGATGGGTAGGGCTGTGGCTCCAGTACTTCTCAGGGGAGAAAAAAATTATTGCAAGCCAGCCTGGGCTCCTTGTACACGTTTAGGACCTTCCAGAAGGGTCAGTGGGGTTGGTGCTGCCTGTCCCTGGCATGGCTGAGGGGACTGAGGTCACCGGTCACCAGCTTTTCTGGCAAAAAAACCCTTTTTTTTTTTTCCTGTTGTATCCAGTGCCTGCATTTCCACCAGTACGCAGCAGGAGGGAGGTGGGCTGGGGGTGGCTGAGGAATTCGGCAGTGCCAGTTGTGGGCTTTTTTAGGGGCTGCAGCTGAGATCGATCCCATACCGGGTGATGTGGTCCCTGCCTGGGATGCTGATCTCTGTTTTTTTTTTTGCTCTCCCACAGGACAACGAGGTGACCGCCACCACGTGCCAGCTGCTGACCCGCGCTGAGACACCCGCCAGCACCACCAACACCCACAGCAGGTAGGTCCTGTAAACCACAACAGCTCCTAACGCTCACTGGGGCCAACTGATGCCTGTGGGACCCGACCCGACCCATGCTGGCACCCCTCAGCCAAGGCATCACTCCTCCAGGGTTTGTTTTTCCTGCTGGAAAGCAAGTCATGGGGGAGGATTCAGTTTTCTCTCTAGCACAGGGTATTGGGGAGCATCTTGTTGGGATGTGATGCTCCAGGGTGTTTGCAGGAATTGTGCTGTCTCCAGCTTCATTGTCTCTGCAAGGATAAGGATAAACCAACGGGATCCTGGGCTGTGTCACCAGCAGCGTGAGCAGCAGGGAGAGAGAGGGGATTGTCCCCCTCTGCTCCCGTGAGACCCCCCCTGGGGTGCTGCCCCCAGCTCTGGGGTCCTCAGCACAGGACAGACACGGA